CCAGGCAGTGTAACAGGTCATAAACATCTGCCACAGCCTCCCAGGGCCCGAACGACACATCCACCTCACAGTGGTGCTCGAAGAGCTGCCCGTCACTCTCACTCCGCTCAAAGCGCAGGGAGTTGAGGAGGGGACACTCGTAGGGGGTGATAGGCATCTCTTCCTTGAAGACACAGACCTTGAGCTTGGCAAAGCGGGCCTTCCGCTGGACTGCGCGCAGCCTGGCGATCTCCACGATCCGCTCCAGGTGGTCTGCGGGGGTGGACACAGCACCCATCAGCTCGGGTGGGGTGGGAGGGCAGGGGGAGGCTACCTCAGGAGCAGGGGACAGAGGACATAGGGGGAGGGGCAGACTTCACGGGAAGGGACTCTTGAACCTTTCACTTTCTCCACAGCAAGTAAGGCCAGTCCTTTTGAAACCCATCACGGCAAAGCAGGCCCACCTTAACAGGAATCCTCTCAGTGCTACGCCAGGTGAGACCACCCTCTCCCATCTCAGGGGCAGGCAGGAGCCCAAGACCCCTTGCTCAGGTGGAGACCCTGGCAGGGCACCCACACAGCACCAACACAGGCCTGGCTCCTGTCTCCCACCCCAGCCATCCCGGGCTGCGGCCCTCACCTTTGTAATAGGGCATGAGGCCCAGAAACGCCTGGCGAACCTTCTCACCCTTCAGTGGCTGCATGTTCTCTAGCTGCTCCAGCAGAGGCCCGATAGCGTAGTACTGGGCCTCCTTGTGCACAGCCCGCACCCGCTCCCGGGGAGGAAGGTCCCCAGAGCGCAGGAAGTTCAGCACGTCTCTGAGTGGGAGGCAAAGAGCACACATGAGGAGGACCATGGACCTGGGCAGGCGCCACACAGGCTCAGAGCACAGAATCTTGGCCAACTGCCTGGGTGACTCTGGGTAAGTAAACCCGGCCTCTCTGCACCTTGGTTTCCTCATCCACAAGACGAGAGAAAATGATACAACTACCTTATAGTACTAAACTGAATGAGTATATGAAAAGTGCTTAGAAAGTTTCTGGCACTAAGTAAGCCCTCAGTAAGTGTTATCAGTTGCTACTGTCAGCATCATTACTTTAGATATATTAGGTATTATAAGGTACATGTAAGTGTAATGGAAAGATATAGCATCTAGCTTCTTAATACACACAGTTTTAAAATTAGAAGTTATAACTGAAAGAGTTATAATTAACTGGGTGGTCCACACCTGTAATCCTAGCATTCTGGGAGGCTGAGGCAGAAAGATCAAAAAAGTTTTCGACTACATAGTGAGACCCTGTCTCAAAAAAAAAA